GACCAATCAGGAAAGTACTTTGTCTCGTGAGATCTCCGCCTGCTCAAACATATCTTCATCCAGGTATATTCATTCCTTATGGCTTCCTCGTGTGACGGCTGCTTTACGACTGAATAGGAAGCTATTCAGTTTTGTGAAGAATAACGATGTTGCTATTGACATTTTCAAGTCGCGCGTGTATTGCATACTGCGGCAAATGTCCAGACTATAGTAAACACTGTCATTATCAAGCGAAAAACATATCTGGTTTTGTACAACACGAAAAATCGGAAAATAAAGAAAATATTGTTGTTTTTATCAGTTCGGCGTTGAAAGGGAATTGGTTGAACATTACAGCACATATCGCCTTGAAAGACTCGGTCGCAAAACTTTGTAGATCATTCATCCGGCGTTCATAATAAACTACTGAACGATTTCATTGGAAATTAAAAAAAAACTAATATCGACAATACTAACTCAGCGCCCCAATAAAAATAAGGCACATAAATCTTACAGACAAATCACGCCACGTTGTCCTCGCGACTTGAAAATTAAATAAGACAGATGTTTATTTTTAACATTGGGGCTAATCTTATATGGAGGAACCTCGCCAAGTTGTCTAACATTTTTCTTGGACTCTTCTGTGTGTTTAATTAAAATTCTTCCTCATCATTATATGTATACCTGTAGTGTCTCTGTGTATATGTTAAATCAGTGTGAACTTGACGCCTACTGTGAGTTATAGAGCTTCTTATTGTCTATACCAGTCTCTCTTCAGCTCAGTTAGTAAGTTGTGTTCTTGTTTACTAATATACACATCTGGTTCTTCCGTCTCTCAATTTAGTCTCTGGTACATTTGGTTCCTCGTAAATAAATGTTAATATTCTTCTAAACAATACTGTAGCAATTCTTGCACTCATTGATGTAGTTTTTGAAGATAATGAAGTAGTGGTGGTATGTATGTATGTATGTATGTATGTATGTATGTATGGTGAGTGGTGGTGATTTTATTTAACTTGGAAGGATTTATGTTTGTTTTATATGTTGGTTATAAACTAAAATACAAAATCCCCAGGGCCGGATAAATTTTTTCCTCGAGTCTTAAAAGAGTTAGTAGGGAAGATTGGACCCCTCGTAAACTTATTTACAAATCATTAGACACTGGGTTGTGACAGAGTTGTGGAAACAGGCAAATGTAGTACCCATATTCAAGAGAAAGAGCATCAGCGTCAAATTACCGGCCGATCGGTTTGGCGTCAGTAGTGGAAATTTCTTGAATCAATTATAGCAGATAGCATCCGATCGCATCTGAAAAGCAAATTAATCTGGACTCTCAACATGGGTTTACAAAGGGAAAATCTTGTCTAACAAATCTGCTAACGTTTTTAGGAAAGTCTTCGAGGTAGTAGATAATGACGAAAATTACGATGTTATTTACTTAGACTTTAGCAAAGCATTTGACAGTACCGCATCAGAGGCTTCTGAGAAAAATTAAAGGCTCATGGTATCGGGGGAAAGTTTTAAATTGAATAAAATCATGGCTCACCGATAGAACGCAGAGGGTCAGCGTAGATGGTTGTTAAATCTGAGTGGGGCCGTGTAACCAGTGGGGTTCCCCAGGGGTCAGTACTAGGCCCACTCTTGTTCATAATCTACATAAACGATTTAGATACTGGGATCAGCAGTGACATAAGCAGGTTGCGGATGACACCAAAATAGGCGGCAAATTAATTCAGGATGCAAACGCATTAGGAGGATCTAAATAAACTGCGGGGTGGTCTGAAAATGGCAAATGAAATTCAACACCAGCAAGTGCAGCGTACTTATATGGAAACAAATACTTATAATGTATACAGCCTTAACAACATCAACCTGAAAGTCGACTTGTGAAAAGAGACCCTGGGGGTACTTAGTCGCCCGGACCTACGGCCTGCAAACAGTGCGTTAATGTTCGAAATAAAGCAAACAGAGTATTGGGTTTTATACAAGTGTGTAACAAGAGTGCAGAGATGTGTAACTTTATATCTTGCGCTAGTCAGGCCGCACCTCGATTATGCGGTTTAGGTTCTGGTGCCCCTATTGGATATAAATTCACAGTCGGTGCGGCGAGAATGACAAAAATGATTCCGGGACTTAGAAACCTTCCATATCAGGATAGGTTAAAACTTAACTTGCATTCTAGAAAGACGAAGAGTGCGGAATATGATAGAAGTATTTAAGTGGGTGAAAGGAATCCAATAAAGGGATATAGATAAAGTTCTTATAATATCCGAGCAGGATAGGACTCAAACAACGGATTCAAGTTTGATAAGTTTAGGTTTAGGAGGGGATAGGAAGGAACTGGTTCACAAATAGGGGTGGTGGACGAGTGGAACAAGCTTAGCAACTTTGTAGTAAGTGCGGGAACTCTGGAAAGGATTTCAAGAGGCTAGATAGATTCATGGATGACAGAGGTGGTAGTAACTCTCGCCAGGAGCTGCCATGCACAGGCCAACCTGCCTATTGCAGACTCCTTATTTTCTTATTCTTATGTTATCTGTACAATAAAGACACATGACATAAGGAAAGAACCTTTAAATCACTCAACCATAAAGGTGAATTTCACAGGTAAAATTAGTAGTGGTTCCCTTTGATGTGTTTAAGAAAGCATCATTCCTTAACGCTCGAAGACACTGTAATTGGTCATTTTAGTCTCATCGTTTCTAATGGTGAATGAAGTTGTTCGGTTCGTTCTAGATTAGTTTTCTTTTTAATATCCACAACTAATTTAGGTGCAGAAGAAAAGTCTAAATGAGCTGTAATAAGTATTTTTATTCTTAGTGTTACTTGAATTTTTTTAGCTTTGAACATTAAAAATTAAATATCATAAAATATATAAAGACAGTTAGAACATATTAGACTGCTGCTTTATGTTAACGCGATTAGTGATAGTCGCCTGAAACACACAGTGTTGATGGGCGGTAAAGAAACGCAAGTACCAGTGATGTGATTTACATTATTTACAGCTAACAGTAGCACCACCTCTTATAGCTAAAAGAACCTGACAAACCACAGATGTCTCCTGTCTGTGTTTATGGGGTTCTTATCACGAACGAAAGTTCTAAACTATTACCCATCAAGATTGTGTTAGAAGACGGTCGTGTGATCACTAGATACCAACATGAAGATTTCTAAACTCCTGCTGCCCGTCACCAGTGTTCGCTAAGGTGTAGTGGCGGGTTTTTGAATAAGCAAATGTGACTCAGAGTTGGTCAGTGGCTGCGTTCAGAGTCCCTCGCGTGCTGCTAAGATCTATCATTCAGGTCAGGAAAGACGGGTATGTGGTGACTATGTTCAACCAGAAACAAATGAGTCTACATACAAATTCCTGACTGTACAGTATACTGATATCAACTACGTCACACCACGGAGGTCTGGATGGCGTGGTTACTGAGGGTATGGGTGACAGGATGGTCGTGGGTGTCGGGGAGGCGTGGGGTGTCCTCACGGATGCTGAGTTCTCCAGGACGTTCTGGGTACTCTTGTGGCGATGGTTGGCTGCGTAGCCGAAGCGCCGCGTGCGGTGTTGCCGCCATCGCTTCCGCAGCAGCTCTCTTACGTCACTGCTCATGAAACAGTACAGCACCGACACGAAGACTCCTAGGGGGGGACACCAACCATTATATAACAGTCATGTACAGACAGTAAAGTAATATATAGTTGGAGGAGGAAGAAGACAACAGAAATTACCAACTGCTGTCTCTGCTGTGTCAGACGGGAAGTGATAGAACAGGTCAGGGTTATTTTACAGCACCAGCACAACCAACACTGCACTGTATATTAAAGGAACTATTTTCTCTCGTATAACTCTGTTCTACACATGCACCACTTAGGACAATTATATAGTTTGGGTCTTAATTGTTAAACGTAAAACTGAAGAATGAAGATTATAGTGCAAGGAAGGGGAGAGAGAGAGAGAGAGAGAGAGAGAGATATAGAAAATACACATGCAGATAATGCAGATAAATAAAGAGGAATAGGATGAGACAAGGAAGACTATCTGGTAGCCATAAGAACCCACCTGGTAGCCTTAAGAACCCACCTGGTAGCCTTAAGAACCCACCTGGTAGCCATAAGAACCCACCTGGTGGCCTTAAGAACCCACCTGGTGGCCTTAAGAACCCACCTGGTAGCTTAAGAACCCACCTGGTGGCTTAAGAACCCAACTGGTAGCCTTAAGAACCCACCTGTGCTTAAGAACCCACCTGGTAGCAAGAACCCACCTGGTGGCTTAAGAACCCACCTGGTAGCCTTAAGAACCCACCTGGTAGCCTTAAGAACCCACCTGGTGGCTTAAGAACCCACCTGGTAGCTTAAGAACCCACCTGGTAGCCTTAAGAACCCACCTGGTAGCTTAAGAACCCACTCTAGCTTAAGAACCCACCTGGTGACAGAACCCACCTGGTAGCCTTGAACCCACCTGGTGGCCTTAAGAACCCACCTGGTAGCCTTAAGAACCCACCCTGGTAGCCTTAAGAACCCACCTGGTAGCCTAAAGAACCCACCTGTGGCTAATAACCCACCTGGTAGGCTTACGAACCCACCTGGTGGCCTTAAGAACCCACCTGGTAGCCTTAAGAACCCACCTGGTGGCCTTGAGAACCCACCTGGAGCTTAATAACCCACCTGGTAGCCTTAAGAACCCACCTGGTGGCTATCCCACCTGGTAGCCTTAAGAACCCACCTAGCCTTAAGAACCCACCTGGTAGCCTTAAGAACCCACCTGGTAGCCTTAAGAACCCACCTGGTAGCCTTAAGAACCCACCTGGTAGCCTTAAGAACCCACCTGGTAGCTTAAGAACCCACCTGGTAGCTTAAGAACCCACCTGGTAACCTTCATGACCCACCTGGTAACCTTCCTGACCCACCTGGTAACCTTCATGACCCACTCTGTAACCTCCTGACCCACCTGGTAACCTTCATGGACCCACCTGGTAACCTTCATGACCCACCTTGTAACCTCCCTGACCCACCTGGTAGCCTTAAGAACCCACCTGGTAGCCAGAACCCACCTGGTAACGTTCCTGACCCACCTGGTGCCCCTGACCCACCTGGTAACCTTCCTGACCTCCATGACCCACCTGGTAACCTCCTGACCCACCTGGTAACCTTCTATGACCCACCTGGTAACCTCCTGACCCACCTGTAACCTCCTGACCCACCTGGTAACCTTCCTGACCTCCATGACCCACCTGGTAACCTCCTGACCACCTGGTAACCTTCATGACCCACCTGGTAACCTCCTTGACCCACCTGGTAACCTCCTGACCCACCTGGTAACCTTCATGACCCACCTGGTAACCTTCATGACCCACCTGGTAACCTTCATAATCCACCTGGTAACCTTCATAACCCACCTGGTAACCTCCTGACCCACCTGGTAACTTCCTGACCCACCTGATAATCTTCATAACCCACCTGGTAACCTCCCTGACCCACCTGGTAACCTCCCTGACCCACTACCACACTTTGCTATAAACAGATAAATTGTACCGAATTTCCCCCCACCCACTCATCATTCTGTCACTTTATGTAACTCGCTGACAAACCCCATGACCCTTCAGGCTTTACACGCCCTTAATGCGTGAGTCATTAAGGCAGCATGAGACCGCACTTCTCCTGATGGGTACAGTAAACGCTTCTGCGCTTCTGTGCACAGGATGTAAGGGGTCCTAATAAACTAGTTTCCTCGGGCATCTAAAAAAAAATCCACTGTATCGGACTTACCTGGGAGGACTGGAGGAGGGCGTTGGTGAGGCATATGGCGCCCAGGTCGCCCTTACCGCCAGGGTTGACGGAGAAGAGGAGGTTGGTGATGCCTAGAGCGGGAACAACACTGCAGTCGCCCTAATCGCTTTCCTGCATCACAACACAGAGGAGAGAGTTAATGAAACACTACTATATGCAGAGAGAGAGTGGTTAAAAGGAAAAACTAAAGTAAATCTGTAGACTGAGAGAGAGAAAAGAGATCCAACGTTGACTCGCTATCACAAAAGAAAGGTAAACACTTAAGCCAGGTTAATGACGTAGATAGAGATTCCTTTGACGTCTGTAGATATATTTTAAACACTCTCACTGACGCAGCGCTTTTCGTCACCTACCACCAACCTATCAACGACACACACACACACACACACACACACACACACACACACACACACACACACACACACACACACACACACACACACACACACACAAATCACAAGGATAATTGCATGGCTTGATAAATTACATATTGCATGAGATAAGAAAGGCTATACTATCTCTGTATAATTCCCACCTCCTGGTTCATCAACAGACAAATTAGCGTCAGAATGCGTGATGACCCCCATGGGTCATCGTGGGGGGTTATAGGCTAAGGTAACGAGAGGGGAGAGAATTGTTGATAAGAGAAAGGTGTGAGAGAGATGAAAGACAAATAAATAGATGATGAGGAAGAACAGAGATCGATGGTAGAGACAGAGGGAGAGACAGAGGGGAGATAGACAGACAGACAGGTAGACAGAGAGGCACACACACACACACACACACACACACACACACACACACACACACACACACACACACACACACACACACACACACTCTCTCTCTCTCTCTCTCTCTCTCTCTTCTCTCTCTCTCTTAGGTCCAATGTTCAGTACATAAAACCTCACTTGGGTACTGGGTACGAGTGACGTGTACGTGGTAGGTGTGGGTGACGCGTACGTGGTATGTATTGAAGGGTGACGTGTGCGTGGTAGGTGTTAAGGTGACGATGTACGTGGTAGGTATGAAGTTGACGTGTACGTATGGTAGGTATTGAAGGTGACGTGTGCGTGGTGGTGGATGTTAGGGGTAACTTAGTTTTAAAGGTGGTGATGAATTATTCAATATAAAAACGACACTTAGAGCAGGGAGACTTAACCAACCCGACTGGTGACTTGAGGATACGATCTTTATACTTACCTTACTTGTGTGGTCTCAAGCTGCGTCACTAGCACGGAGTTTGGTCACCAAGATCCTAATAATGTTCACCAGAAACACCAAGTTGATCTGGGGGGAGAAAGAACATCACTAAACATCATAAAACATCAACAAACACCACCAAACACTCACTAAACATCTACCAAACACCACCAAACACTCACTAAACATCACCAAACACTACAAAACACTCACTAAACATCACCAAACACCACCAAACACCACCAAACACTCACTAAACATCTACCAAACACTCACTAAACATCACCAAACACTCACTAAACATCAACAAACACCACAAACACTCACTAAACACATAAACACAAACACCACCAAACACCACAAGCACTCACTAAACACCACCAAACACACACAAACATCACCAAACACCACCAAGCACTCACTAAACACCACCAAACACACACAAACATCACCAAACACCACCAAACACACACACACACACCAAACACCAAGCACTCACTAAACACCACCAAACACCACCAAACACCACCAAACACTCACTAAACATCACCAAACCTCACTAAACATCACCAAGCACTCACTAAACACCACCAACACACACAAACACCACCAAACACCACCAAACACACACAAACACCACCAAACACCCTAAACACCACTTAAACACCACCACCAAGCACCAACAAACACCACCAAACACACACAAACATCTTAAACACCACCAAGCACTAACTAAACACCACCAAACACTCACTAAACATCACCAAACACCACCAAACACACAAACACCACCAAACACCACCAAGCACTCACTACACCACCAAGCACTCACTAAACATCACAAAACACTCATTCATCACCAAACACCACCAAGCACTCACTAAACACCACCAAACACCACAAACATCACCAAACACCCACCCCAAACATCACCAAACACCACCAAACACTCACTAAACACCACAAACATACAGTAAAGAAACACAAACAGACGCATCACTTGTATAATAATGTATAAGTTATGTATTAATTTTCAAGGTTGATGAAGACGGATGAATAAAATGTAAATAGAGATAGGCGGAAGAAATAGGAAAATGATAGATATATGGAGAGAGAGAGAGAGAGAGAGAGAGACAAATAGACAGATAGAGAGGAGACAAAAGAATAGACAGATAGATAAAAATAGAGAAAGATAAGGAATAGACAGATAGATGAAGTAAGAGCAAAATAGACAGACAAAGAGACAGAGAAAAGACAGACAAATTGAGAGAAAAGATAAAGAATAGACGGACAGACGGGGAGATATAGACAGATGGACGGACAGAATAGACATATAGACATACGGATATAAAGAGACGATGTCAATTAGAGAGAAGACATATGACCCGGAGTTCTCCAGATCAGGCCTTCATTCTCTTCACCCTTGTCGTGTGGGCTGTTATTCTCCTCTACTTTTTTTTTTTTTTTACTGGGATTACCCCCAGGCAGGAGTCACTGTTGTATTGTCATTAGTAAGAGAAACAATTGAGACCCTGCAATTGTGTGTAATAAATGAGGCAGAAAGTCAGATCAGCAACCTGGGACTTGGTCACAATTTTCGTGATGCCATGTGGAAGCAGGGTCTACCATTAGACAACACATTATGCTTCCAATATCTTCCCAGGCGGTAGTACCTCCCTGTTTGGTACCTGCCAACTCACCTACTACCTAGTCATGTAGGGCTGTGGTTCTCCTCTCCTTGTCGTGTAGGCTGTGGTTCTCCTCTCCCCCTTGTCGTGTAGGCTGTGGTTCTCCTCTCCCCTTGTTGATGGGCTGTGGTTCTCCTCTCCTTGTTGTGTAGGTTGTGTTCTCTCTCCCTGTCGTGAGGCTGTGGTCTCCTCTCCTGTTGTGTAGGCTGTGGTTTCTCCTCTCCCCTTGTTGTGTAGGCTGTGGTTCTCCTCTCCCTTGTTGTGTAGGCTGTGGTTTCTCCTCTCCCTGTCGTGTAGGCTGTGGTTCTCCTCTCCTTGTCGTGTAGGCTGTGGTTCTCCTCTCCCCTTGTCGTATGGGCTGTGGTTCTCCTCTCCCTTGTCGTGTAGGCTGTGGTTCTCCTCTACCCTACCATCAGAGCAGTGACCATGGGTCTTCTACATTAGGGCAATAACCACGGGTGCTACCTACAATCAGAGCAGTGACCATGGGTGCTACCGACCATTAGGGCAATAACCATGGGTGCTACTTACCATCAGAGCAGTGACCATGGGTGCTACCTCATCAGAGCAGTGACCATGGGTGCTACTAGTATCCACACATACAGTAGGAATCGCCGTAGCCCTGCCAACAGATGGACGGGATAGCGCAGGGACATGGTAGTAGCCCAGGCCAGGATGAACACCAACGGCGCCCCTGCAATATAACAACAACACCTCAACTATACCTTGAAGAACAAGTCGAAATTCAAGCATCCCTCCCTTCTTCCCTCCCCCCGCCCCTTCCCCTCTCCTCCCCTCTCCCTCCCCTCTCCCCCAATCCTCCCTCTACAAAATCATGAATTATCCTATCTGTTTGTTTGAGAATCGCATGAACTGTCTATTCTACACTGTTTATAATGACGCGTGTTGACATGATCTTTTTGTGTGACCTTGACAATACATAATACAGGCCAGCATGATTTAATTTACCCCCAAGTTCTTTGTTATTAATTACTGGAGTATCTAAGACTATAAACGTCTTTCGAAACTTGTGTTTGAGTTGTATGTTACTGTAGAAAGTTCAGTCAGATCGGTAACACAGCCTAGGGTGCCCCAGATCCCGGTAACACGGTCCTCCTGAGGTGTCCCAGATCCCGGTAACAGGTCCTCCTATGGTGTCCCAGATCCCAGTAACACGGTCCTCCAAGGGTGCCCCAGATCGCCGTTGGTCCTCCTATGGTGTCCCAGATCCCGGTAACACGGTCCTCAAGGTGCCCCAGATCCAGTAACACGGTCCTCCTATGGTGTCCCAGATCCCGGTAACACGGTCCTCCAAGGTGCCAGATCCCGGTAACACGGTCCTCAAAGGTGCCCCAGATCCGTAACACGGTCCTCCAAGGTGTCCCAGATCCCGTAACACGGTCCTCAAGTGCCCCAGATCCCGGTAACACGGTCCTCCAAGGGTGCCCCAGATCCGTAACACGGTCCTCCAAGGGTGCCCCAGATCCCGGTAACACGGTCCTCAAGGGTGCCCCAGATCCCGGTAACACGGTCCTCCAAGGTGCCCCAGATCCAGTAACACAGTCCTCCTATGGTGTCCCAGATCCCAGTAACACGGTCCTCCAAGGTGTCCAGATCCTGTAACACGGTCCTCCAAGGGTGCCCCAGATCCAGCTAACGGTCCTCAGGTGCCCAGATCCAGTAACACGGTCCTCAAGGGTGTCCCAGATCCCGGTAACACGGTCCTCCAAGGGTGCCCCAGATCCCGGTAACACGGTCCTCAAGGTGTCCCA